CCCTTATGACTGGTTTTGTGGTCCAGGGTCACATATATTAAAATCCCACAGATTTACATTGAGAGAGATACTCGAACCATATCTACAGACAAGAATATCAAAGCCTTAAGGTTGGTCTGAGTACTTGGTACTTGGTCTCAGTACCTGTTACTTTAGTATTATTTATATACTATTAATATTTAGAAGTAGCATTTATTTTTATATTTTCAATTTTCATTTAAATGTATTTATATATATTTATACATATTCTTATATGTTCAGTTTTCGTTTTCACTTAATTTTTAGGAATTTTTTATTTATTAATTTTATTTATACATTTTATTTAAGTTTAATATTTATTTATTTTAAGTATTAGTTTCACTTAACTTTTAGTTTTTCATTTTTTTGTTGTGCTTTTATCATTTTATTAGATTTTTTTATTACTATTTTGTATTTGTATTTTTTTTATCATTATTTTCAGTTAGTAATTTTAGTGCTTTTTCTCAAACTTATTTCAATCATCAGTTTTTAATTTTTTAGTTTTTTTTTTATATAATATTTATATTTGATATATTCCAGCTAAAGTTATGTTTTTAATAGTTTTTGTTAATGATAATCCTTACAACCCTTCACAACACCCTGAAATATTTGTTAGCATCCTCTTTGTCTTATAAAACAAAATCACTTCGCTACAACAAGCCATCATTTGAGGCGGTTGTGTTTCCCATTGGCAAAACCTCTTCTAGTTTTTCTAGAAAGTAAAAATTATGATATGTTGTTGTTGTTGTTATGAATTTAAATTAAGGCTTTGATTAGTTCACCTCATTTTATAAATAAGATCATTTCTGAAGTGCTGTTTTAGCCTTTGCTGAATCACTTATAGTTGCAAGGCCCTGCTTCGGAAATGACATTGATAAGATTTATGATTTTCACAACCCCCTTCCATTACAGACATGCTCCTCAGACCGTGTCAGCAGATGGGGGGGATTTTTTTTTCTTTTCTTTTTTTAAACTCTTTTGTTATTTAATGAGATGAGACTTCCGGCGTCTGCATGTTGAGAATGTCTGTCCAGAGTAAGTGTGTGTGTGTGTGTGTGTCATGGGGAGGCCCCTGACCCCAGCCATGTCTGTCTCTATCACAGATAAACTCTAATTGTGGGCTACAACTGTTTGCGGTGGCCCTGCCTGATGTTCCGCTCTTTTCGGTGGAGGCCGTGGAGCAGAACAGGCTTTTCTCATGCAGATGGAGGGGAGAGTGAAAAGGAAGAGCACATGGCTGGCAGAAGTGTGGGAGGAGAGCCTATCTCATTCAGCATCTCCAGAATGGCTTTTTAATGCCTCTAAACACAACCAAACCACTGGCTTTGCTCCAATACCTAGTCAGCTGCCTATGTAGGAAGTGTTTTAGGCATCATGGGCACACTCTGGAAATCAAAAGCTGCTCCAAAAGGTAAGATGTTTTCTTTTGGCCAAATTTGAAGACAGGCAATACCAATGCATTGCGACAAGCTCAGTGAAAATCTATAAAATATACAATTATATAATATAAAATATATAAATAATAAAATAAATAATAATGATAATAAAAAAAAAATAATAAAAAAAATAATAATAATGATGAGCTCATATCTTTATATATTTTTATCTCACTGAGCTCACATACATAAACCATTTATTCAGTACTAAAAATATTTATCAAAAAACAAATTTTGTTATAAATTGTAATTGTTAAAATTGAGTACTTCACATGAGGAGCGCTACTTGTGTCGTACAATATAAATGAAAGAAACTATAAACATGATTCAAAAAAACTAATTTTACTTTTGTGAAGTTATGTATTTAAAAATGTAACACGATATAAAAACAATGTTTGTTATGTGAAGTAAATGTTAACAAATAAAATAAAAATATGTATATATTTTTTTAAATTATACTAAAGCAACATTTCTCATTTTCATTTAATTTAACTAAAATAATTAAAATTAAAATCTAATCTAAAATTGAAATGAAATATATACTAATAAAACTGTATAGCCATATTTAAAAAACATAAATAAAAAAAAAATTATAAAACAACAAAATTAATTTTTTTTTAACTAAAATAAAAATCTCAATGATACTGAAATAAAACATGCATTTCACATGAATTGTGCTATTTCTTTATTAGTTGCAGACATGTAGAGCGTTCTAGTCACTTTTCCAATAATCTGATTCCATTGCAGTAATCATGATTCCTTAGAAGGCAGCTACTTAAGCAGGCAGTAGACAGCAAGGCAGCTCACTAGGTTGGGAACAGAGCCATTAAATAATAGCCCGATATAGAGAGAGAGAGACAAAAATAGAAAGGTGGTCTGGTTTAGGGATAGCGAAGGAGACAAAAAAAGAAAAGTGGTCTATGAAGGGAGAAAATAGTCTGATTAATATTGCTTTAAATTAAAACTGATTTTTCTAGAGCGTTCCGTTCGCCCATTTTTTCCTTCAAAGGCTTTCCGTGTTTCCTTCGTCTTTTTCCCCTCCTTTTTAATACCCTCTTTGACGGCCTTTGTGATTGCGAGTCATTTCCAATTCATTTCGGTATTGATCTTGCAGTGAAAATCAGTTTTGTAATTAGCTGCAAATTAGGCCTTCTTCTGGAGGTGAGTGCTGTCGGCCTGATTAATCGCTGGAGTAATGTCTCCCGATCGCACCCAAATTAAAATGAACTCAATTAGGCCGTTCCCTTTGGTTTATGGCTCCGACTCGCTCTTTCGGGGAGAGAAATTAATCGTCACTTGTTGTTTAGTAGTCTAATGAAAGTAAATAAAGGTTATCCATTATAATAAATCCAACACTTTTAATACGAAATTGTACATAAAGTGTTTCATATGCTGCTGTTTGTGTGTGCATGTGTTATTAATTGCTAACATTGTTGCTTTGTGAGTGTTTGGCCACATTTAGATTTTGTAAACGGCTATGAAGGAGCCGTACAGGAAATGACATAATTTCTCATGTGCAGCCGAGTGGGCGGTAGCTCATCTCGTGTTGTTTTTCCTGAGAATGTATTTTTATTTCCATCAGAAAATCAATAAATGGAGGGAGTTCTGCTCTTTGATCCTCAATGCATCACTGGAACACCAGCACTTACTGATAAACAACACGTTTATTTATACACACACAGACATAAAAGAAAAAGCATTGGAAGCACACCATAAATATTGTAGTTTGCTTAGAAATCATGCTGAACTATTTTTAGTAGTTTTTCAGACAAAGTTATCACCTTAGATATAGTAGTATATATATATATATGTATATATATATATATATATATAT